TTACTGTTGTGGCGATTTGTTCGACTTCGGGGCGGGGGATGCCGGTTAGGAACTCATCATAGTATTTTAGGCCGATTTGTTGGACGCGGGTCAGGTTGTTCCAGCCATGTTCGATGATGTCGTCTAGGTCTGTCCAGTGGCGGTAGTAGTAGAATTCGCGGGCGGTTTTGGCGCCAACGCCCCAGATGTTGTAGAAGGTGTTGAGGATCTGGAGGGTTGGGTCGGTGTCTAGGAGGGTGGCAGCTGAGAGGGTGCCCGTTGGGCTTTGTTGGTATTCGTAGAAGAGGTTGGCGATTTTGGTGTCGCAGCCTGGGAGGGTGAGAATCTCAGAAGGGCGGCGGAATTCGTGCGGGTAGGCTGCTATCGCTGCGATGGAGGTGCTGTAGGCGCGGACGCCGATTTCGTCGAGTGTTAATTCGCGGATTTGTCGGATTTTGATAAGCTGGTTGATGAAGCCTTCGTTTGGGGGGTGGAGGGGGGTGGAGCGCAGGCAGGCGTAGAGGACGTGCTCCTTCACCCAGTCTGGGGCTGGGGGGAGGGATTCGGTTTCTTCGTTCTCCGAGGTGGTGGTTCGGTATAGTTTGGGCGGGTTGTGAGTAGAATCGTGAGTACGCGCATGGTGGTATACGGTCGGTGGCTTTGGTGGCGGTCGTAATGCGGCATCTTGCCTGGCTCGTTGGAGGATATCGCTCCCTAGGGAGGCTGGCTTTGAGGGCTCTACGGGGCGTGGAGCCCGTCGGGCGATGTAAATCGTATATGGATCGGTAGAAAGGAGCTCTTGCGTCTTGAGACATTGGTCCAGCCAGTCTAGTTTGACGACGCTGATGGTGTCTGCTTGTGCAACGGAGGATGACACGGAAGACGCGCCAGACGGATTTGAAACGGTTGACTCCGCGGCGGGGGAGTCAGTCTGCGTCCGATGGAGATGCCGCGAGGGGTCATGCCGACTTTTCATCCCATCTTCTTCGTCTTCTGTCTCCGTGCTGAGGTCGATAATGTCGGCCTGGTCTGCAGCCATTTTCGACTCGGCTGCATTGACACGACGCCGCTTCTTTGGGGGCTCAGATTTACTGATAGGTTCGGTCCAGATTCCACGAGATCGTAGTTCTAAAGCTGCTCGCTTTCCTTGTCCGATTTTCCCGAGTACCAGCCTGGCTTCGGATATGTCGTAGGTCAGAGGTGCTTCTCGCTTAATCAGCTCCTCTTCTATGCTGTGAAGCGATTCCAGACTGAGATGGGTGGGGAGCACAAAGATAGGCGGGCAGTTTAGAAAGCTGGGACCAGATTCCCCTGCATCATCATCCTGTGCAGGGGAGCTTGCTGTAGTTTCGGACATGGCCAAGCTATATATTCATTGTGGTTGGGTTCAACGAGATTCATATATAAATAAGTGTAAGAAGCCACAGCGTAAGGCTTCTGTATAGGTCACTTCCAGATTATATCGTATATATAGATCTCTAGATATAAGATAGTGATCTTATGGGAAATCATCAGGGCGTTTAACTTGCGACAGCGCTAGATGTGTCTCGTGGCCGAAGACTGCTGGATAGTTAGTTGCTGGATAGTGGCATAGAACGACGGCTTTCGAAGCCAAGTAGACACTCTGATCGGTCGTCGTAGAAATCAAATACGAGAGTACCAGGATCTTATCAATTAGGATAGATCATCATGCTTGCCGTGGTTGGTGCGCGTTGTCTAAAGCAAAAGGAAGAATGGAAAGCGAATCTTGCGTCGTGATGGCTGACGTCAGTCACCTTCGTATTTACATTGGTGCCTGAGGCATTATATTGGACCCCCATGTTAAGGTTACCCGATTGGGAAGTCACTATGCACACTCAACTCACTCCAACATCTGATCGCAGTTAATTGACAGAACAACTTCAATTCTCTGCTATGGGACTCTTCATATGCATTTTTAGACACGTACGCGTAACCAGACTTATGCATACGCATTTTGCACGAATTTTTGCCAAGAAAAGCAGCACAATTGTCACACCCGGTTTCTAAGGGGCCACAGATAGCCTGAGTCATTTCGTTCGTGTCGTTTGTAAGTCTAAATGTCAAGTGAATTTCAAATCTACACACATGCGTGTCCTAGGCAAATATGATCTCATGACCTCGGAGGTTTTCTCCATGTTCGGATCATGAATACTAGGGTATCTGCGATGTGCTATCAACAGACGAGGATGGCGGGACTCAGGAGTGTTTTGAAATTGACCCAGGCACAGACCTCCGAAGTGCGTGCTACAGGGGTTCGCTTATATCATGGAATACCTAGACTTCAGCTGATAAAATGACTTGTCTTGGTTCCTATCATTGATTGCTGTATAAACGTTCACTGTGGTATGTGAAGTGAAGTTAGCAAAGCATTGGCGTGTAACTTTGATGCGAGAAAATCTGACAATCTCAATAGATTAACTCTACAAGACCTCTAGACTCCCAGTAAGTAGACTATCTGTGTAACATACCATGTCGTGCCTAGTCATCTTTAAAACTGGACTCCAGCTGCTCAGCCTCATTTAGTTCTTGTCAGGGGTCGTGACAAATAACCCTTCGGTTGGTAGTGCAACAATCTGTTGTGAGAACCCAGCCCATCGCTTAACCTTCACACCCCTGGGTCCATTTTGAAGTTTGTCATTAAAGCCCTATGACTAGACAAACAATAATCTGTGTATTCGGGCTTCTTACGCCTTGGGACGGGGTTGAGCAACTGGCTATACACCCATTCCAATATGGCCTATGAAGGAGCGGACCGTCATCAAAACAACAGGAACAAAATAGCACTCTAGTAGAGTGCTCAGGCCCTTCACCATGGACCATATATACTGGAGTCGCAGGCGAGGGTCAGAGGGTATCATCCAAGTTCTTGTCTGCTTTGTAGGCCGGGTACCATTGACGATAAACTAACCCAGCCCCTCTTGCTGAGCACATCTGGCACTTAATAGCACTATAGTCACATTACCTGTTGCCATTCATCATCGAATCATTATTCACCATGTTCAACTTCCTCGCATTGATCGTTCTCGCAGCAATCAGCCCCAGCGCATTATGTGCCCCTATCACCAGCAGGGACATCCCATTCGGGCAGGTTATTACCACATGTACCACCCCCAACACCATTGCATTGACCTTCGATGACGGCCCATCGTCATACACCCCCCAGCTGCTCGACCTTCTCAGCGAATACAAAGTCCGAGCTACCTTTTTCGTCCTCGGCGAAGCCAGTCAGGCAAACCCCCAGATTATCCAGCGCATAAGACAGGAGGGACATCAAGTTGGCTCCCATACGTATGCACCCCAAGCACATTAACCAACCCCCAGACACACACACACAAACTAAAAAGCTGCATAATACAGCTACGACCACACCAGCCTCCCCACACTAAGCTACGACCAAATCGTCCAAGAAATGACCAGTCTTGAGTCAGTGCTTCAAAGCTCCATGGGCAATATTCCAACATACATGCGTCCCCCTTATTTCGACGTCAACGACTTGACCCTCCAGGTTATGAAGGATCTCGGCTACCATGTTATCACAGCCAGTATTGACACTAAGGACTATAACCATAACAGCCCTGAACTGATCAGTCAGAGTTATGACAAGTTCGTCACTGAGCTCAACAATGGTGGTAATCTTTGCTTGGCTCACGATACTAAGGAACAGACGGTGGTTACCTTGGCGAAGATGATGCTGGATGAGACGAAGTCGAGGGGTTTGACTGGTATTTTCCCATTATCCTCTTTTAGATCTGAATTACTTGGGTGGCTAATGTTGGGCAGTTACTACTGTTGGTGATTGCCTCGGAGACCCAGAGGCGTCGTGGTACCGTTCCGGCCGATAGAGGTTTAGGTTTCATGGTGTTGCTGGTTCAGTCCCTGGGTCGAATGCGAATGCGAATGCGAGTGCTTCCGGTTATTGTTGGCGAGGATGGGTTTTGGTAACTGTGGTGGTGTATGTTTCTGGGTTGTGGCTATTGGAGCTGTTCTCGATGTTCAGATCTTGATTATTGGTCCTTGGGTGCGGCTAGTTAGTCCGTGGAGGATGAATAGCTTGTCGACGGGATGAGTTTCAAGAGGCTGGGCTTGGTTTTCAAGGGTAGTGTACTGGTCGTCCGGGTCATACACGAAAGATCACTGGTTAATCAGTTTAAATCTTAAGATATAGCTAGCTTAGAATTTTGTCACAGAAGAGACTTGGTCGTTCCCTTGTTGAAATGTAGTATATTAGTTGCTATCAAAAAAACCAGCATAACTTTTGATCTCTATCATCCCATAGAGCATATAAATCCACCGGTATATAATCGTAAAATGCATGTCAATCGCATACTCATATCTCATTACCCCCTCAACCTTCCCCAAGCACCAACAACACGTCCCTTTCTTCCCTTCAACACCCCCATCATTACCGCGCAGGCCCCCCACCAACCGGCTCCACCGTAACAGCCGCCTCCCCCTTCCCCGTAGCCCCATAATTAACAGCAGCAGCCCCATCTCTCCCCTCATCCAGAATCGGCGTATCGGGAGCATTAGTAGCAGACGGTTCTTCATCCCGATATCCCTCGACATCAGTAACTAAGGTCTTTCCATGTCTCCGGGCAATCCATCTCCTCCAGGGCTTGTAAATAACCACACTGAGGCCGCCGATGATGATGAAGAGTCCACAAATACCGCCGCCAATGGCGTCGTAGTAGTCTCCTGCTACTTGGACTCCATCCCAGAATTTACCGGTGGGGTTAGCGACGTTCAGGACGAGAGTGAGTAGTTGGATCACGCCGATGACAATGGCGACCATGACTGTTAGACAGGTTAGGACGATGGAGTAGTACAGGAACGCTACTGGGTCGCGGTGGTTCTTGGATGGTTCGACTTCGGTGTCTTCGCCCATGAGGGGCGCGTCGGAGGAGGTGTCGCTCTTTGGGGGAAGGAAGTTGGCGGAGGGTTGGACGTAGAGGGAGAGCATTAGGGCTCCGTCGGTGGTGTCGAGGAGACACATTCCCGCTGGTATGTTGTTAGTGAAATTGATGGGTTAGAAAGAGGGGATTGGTGTTTGGGTGCGCCAAGTTAATGACATACCTGTGAATAGAACCGGGAAGATCAGGATAACCCAAAAGTTAGTGCCCTTGGCGGCTTCGACAGACGAGATGCCAAGAAGGGCGATTTCAGATGATGTGTCAAAGCCAAGGCCGAACAAGATTCCAAGCGGATACATTTTCCAAGGTCTGAGCGATGTTAGTGCTCTTACTTCGCAACAGATGAAGTGGAGTCCCTTACCTGTCAATGAGCTTGAACATGCGCTTGAGCACTGAGAAAAGTACACCACCGCCCTCGATCTTCCACACTTCATCTTCTTGGCCTTCGGGTAGATCCAAGACTTTTTGCATTTGCTTGTATAATTTGAACAAAATGTATGCATTCATGAGACCCAGTAGGATCAGAAAAGCGGCACTGACTGAAGTGCCGATGATACCGCCAATGGTGCTGAAACTGTCAAATTTTGATGAGATAGCTGCAGCAGTGGCTGCGACTACGATGGAAGTGATGATAACAATGCTGATGTTTGTTAGTATGAAGAAGCGTGTCTTGAAAGGTAGGAACTCACGTGGAATGGCCGAGAGAGAAGAAGGTGCCTACAGTGACGGGCTTTTGGCCCGTCGCCAGTAATCTTCTAGTCATCAAATCGATGGCCTAGATAGTTTTTGTTAGGTCTTATTCCTATTCTAAAGTGGATATGGGGTAATTACCGAAATATGATCCGCATCAAATGCATGTCTCAATCCGAGAGTATAAGAGAGTACGGCATTAGACACCAGGGACCTGGTGTGACTTAGTAAAATGATAATATCTCCACGAGTACAGCTTTTGAATCACATACGGGTAATAGCGCTGGAAAATGTTAGCTCATGGCTTAAAAATGAATCCAGTCAAGAGGGCAAGAAGGGTGATACACATACCAACACAATTGCGGCGGCAATCCACACCACAACGTTAATGAACGCAATGAACAGAATGATGGCGATGGCAGGCAGGGGAACCTTCTTCAGTCCCGGCAACCGACGATGCGATCGCTCAGCCTGCCTGACGAACTTTTTGATATTCCATTTGGTACGTGCAACATCAGTTTGGCCATTTCCCTCCGAGACATGGCTTGGGTTAGGACTGGGAGGGGTCGAGTCCCGCATGGTTGACAGATAACAGCCACAGGGACTCCCACAAGAAGTGCTTGAATGTGGTTATTTCTGAGAGATACCCCTTCCCGCTGTCCGCAGTTGGAATGGAACGATTTATCTGGATAAGATTTATCGTCCGTGGGTTAAAGCGTGCCGTGGGGAATGTCAAGGCTTTTTGGGGGGGTGCGGGAGGGGAAAAGAAAACCTGATAAGGCTCACATGCGATAAAGTATAAGAGAATTTAGACGGCCAAATTATCAATGCCAACCAAGCAGTGGATCCGGCTTGACGAACTGAGGACCAGAGGAGATGGATTACTTATGCAAAGCCCATTTGGCGAGTTCTTGCAGTGGAGCTCCTTGCAGTCCCCACAGGGTCCTGTTGGAGTTGTTCACTATCAGTTAGTTCCTTGCTCGGGTGGTGTAGTACCGGGGACGTCCGGGGTGTCTTACTTTGGAGAAGGCTGAACGCAGTACAATCTTCTATGTCTATTATAAAAAAGATGGAAACAAACGAACAAACCGCAGATAACAATATATCGATGATCTCTGTGAGATTGTGCCCACAATGATGGATGCAAGCCTGAATCTTCTGGTCTGCTCGGCTCTGGAAACAACTGCCACGTGACGTGCCCGCATCTGAAGGCGGAGCACGCCGACCAGCTGCTGCTGCATCTCCGACTTCCATCTTCTAGTCGACTCCCCCAGTGCAACACTGCAACTTCCCCTCACTTTACATACTAGAAATTCAATCATGGGAAGATAGTACTTTTATTTCATGCAGGTCTATTGTACACGTCTCATTCCTGTGAGCCCAACTTCTCATCTGAAGTCCGATTCACCTGATCACCCATTTCGAAAAGGATCGGTCGGGACGATAGATCCGTTTGCGGGTGAGCATCCAAACCTTCCCGAATATTTTCGTGCTCGCGGGTGGTTTCTTCTCTCGAAAATCCACCCGCCTTGCGGTGGTCCCTGCGCCTAGTTGGCCGGTTTGCCGACATCGCTCGGATAGCTCCACTCAACCAGCCATGGCTGTCGCCGGAATTCCGCTCTACGGTGGAGTGTTCCTGTCAGTCCGAGAACGGTCCTGCACGGGAAGATTAGCTCGGGTTCGGACTTAATATACTAAACGTGCAGGTGTTCTTACCCTTTAGACTCGGCATACTTCTTCAGACTGCTCCGATGCGCAAATGGCTCGGATTTGGAGGCCCTTGATCATGACCATGGCCATGATGGTGCTGGAGGTGTTGGTGGTATAGCATTTGCTCGACAGAGCGTCAAGCAATCAATGATGCTGTTCACGCAGCGGCCATAACAGTTGGTGATGGTGTCCACTTGGTAACTGTGGTCTTGCCCAAAGGAAAGTCCGTACGGAGCATGTTCCATTCGTTCCGAGTGATAGGAGTCACATCAGATGCAGACAGTGGTGTCTTGGGCCCGCGCTTGGTTGGCAAGTTGTATCTTGTTGGCGGAGGGTTTTGGCGACGAGCTGCCCGGATCGCACGCAGTGGTGATTTCCGGGGACGCTCCACTTTCACCCGGGGTGGCACATTGGTCTTGGCGGGAGGTGCAACATCGGCCTTCGCAGGAGGTGGGATAATAATTCCTTCCTGCTTGTATTGCTTCCTGAAGGCATCCGCCACCTGGGATAACAGCATATCGGGCACATCCAGCTGCTCGTAGACGCGGTGGAAGAAGGCCCTGCTGAAGGGACGACCATGGAAGTCATTGATGGTACGGTGGAGGAGTTGCGCGCAGGATGAGATGTAAGATTCTTCGGGCGGTGTTCCCCGATGGGAAAGGATGCACAACCGGCGCTTGAGGGTGTAGATGCGGTCCACGTTCAGCAGTGTCAGACCCTCTCTGCTGAAGATCACTTCATTCTGCATAATTGATTGTTGGATCAGGTAGTCGTGGGCCTGGCGCTCGTGCTGGCTGCGGTTCAAGGCATCAGTCCAGCTGTGGCCTAGGGAGAACTTGCTAGCTCCCTTGGCTACCGTGCGGAACACGATCCGCCATGCTGTCTCATCCAGAGGGGTGATGGGAATGACGATGAGGTCGGATGGCTGGCCGGTTGGGTAGGGCTTCCCGCGACCAACAAGCAGAGTAACGTGCATCATCCTCTGCTCCAGCTTGGAAGAAACGTATTCAAGGGCAGGAATAATGGAAGGAGTCAAGGTCTCAGAGTCAAAGTTGAATTCAGGTGATAATGGGGAGGAGATCATATCCCCCTTGAGGCTCCGTGTGGGTGAGTTCGGCACATACACGCCGGTTGGGCGAGGTAAACGCATGACACCCATGTTGGTATGTATAAGACGATCACTGCAGTAGAGATGACCAGAATAAGTAAAAAAATCAAGAGTCAAGAGCACTTCAACTCCAATTACTGGAAGTTGTGCGTGAGAGAAAACGAAAAGGACCGTTGTTGTATTGGGGAGATCGTGAGCAATAAATCTTCATCAGTCCCCAGTTGGACACTAAAGGAGGGGAAGGGAAGCTCGGCGATAGAGACGCCAAATCCCTCAACCAACGCTCCACATATTAGTGCTGCAGCAACCCCTCTTTGGACTATTTTGAGAATTCTAAGGATAGTAAATCCCCGGCTCCGTGAAGCACGAGGGCCAGTCATTGCCATCCAACTTGGATCCGGGGGAGCGGCACCCAATGGGTCAGGCGATATAAATAACCTTAAGCGCCGGGCGTGCCGTGTGATGGGCTCGTGCATAGCCCTTATGCAGGTTGAGCACAGAACACGCCAAACACTGGAAGCTGACTGGTGGATGGTTTGATCTTAGCGTCGATTAATATCACTAGTAGCCAGAGTCCGGATCACTTCCTTCACTTTGGACCCCATCAATACCACCCCAAGGCTGAACTGGACTTTCGCCAACGGTTGTGACAGCGATAGCCTTATCGGTCCAACGGCAGTACCACCTCTTCCAACAGAAGTATACCAAGAGTGCCCCTGCACCAACATCGGCTGCAGAAGTCGCCCTCCTTTGGACACGACAATTTGGTCCAAACTAATCAGCCAACACTCCGTGCGATTACCAGGACACCCCGCTCCGACGCGCCGTAAAATGTCGAATTGTGCAGTGCACACTCAGCTGGCCCCCACCTGATAAGACCTTGCAGGAACTATTGATTTCCTGCAGCTGCACAGCGCTAACCTCCCATTTGTGAGAGGTGGGCTTCCAGAATGGCGTGGTCATAGTTCCATTACCCCGCCTAAGGCTGTCGATGAGTGTGATATGGCTCTGGGCTGGATTGGACGGGATTGTGCCATGTGTGCTTGCTGTCATGGGAGGATTCACGAGCATGTCTCCCACCGTGTGGGACTCTTAGCCGACAGACGTGACGAAAATTGATGGCCTTGCGTCGGAGCACTCGGGTCCTTCCTCGATTCCACATGGCCTGTGGATTTACCGCCGAGCGGGATGAGGGATTTGGCTTGTGCATTAGGTAGTCAATAGTTCTATCTCGCCTGCATGGTCGTACGTGGCGGTTGTCGTGAATGGGATACTCCGTACTATGGGGTCGTTATCACACTTATCTGCGAATGTGGCGTGCTGGTATTCGAAAGTTGGGATTCTTTATCCAGATCCTTAATTTTCCCCGGATACCCAGGCAGTGTTGGTCGGCAGTTGCCATCTTCAATGCTGCGATACATTCAGCGGGGTTGTTGGAACATCCGGGTCATTCCTTAATAGATGTAGTGGTAAAATCCATCCCACGGCTCTCTTCACTACACGGTCATGTGAAGAACAACACTAGTTCACATCTCGCAGACCCAACTTACACCCTCTTCTGTCCTCCTTCATTCTTCATTCTAAACAGAACTTTCACGGCGCACTTTGTTCTCTGCTTCTGTGCCATCTTCTTCCGCTACAACAGAGCTGCATCTATTTGATGTGATCGGATATCCTTACTTCGATCTTCAGCTGTCCAGCCCACGTAAAATGGCTCCCAGAAGCTTGAGAATAACGTGAGTAACTTGCAGTGACACGCTTAGCACTTCCAGGGATCAACATTAGAGAACGGTCTCTCCCATTCCAAGGCATCTAATATCTGACACCCTTTTCTAAGATACTTTTGGCGCTTTGGAAGCTTCTTTATAGCTCGCTCGCGGTGCCAAGTTTGGGAATTCTACCCTGATCTAGGATGAAATTCTCGCGATTGGCCTACGGGGCAATACGAGTCATAAAACCTTTTGGTATTATCCTACTCAGTATGTCTGACAGACTAAAGTTCAAACTATATTCAACTCTTACGCGCATTGTCACTGCTTTTGCTGGCGTATAGAGATCAGCAGGTGAGACAGATGACGTGAATATATGGTACGGAGTCGGCATTCCACTGTATGTTATTACATCAGTGGTTTTCCATTGTTATGATTTTGACTAGTCATCCTGCACAGAAGTCTCATCTTCGGAAGGTGGTTAGGTTTGAATCACTTCCAACCCATTGTTTTCGTTCTTTGTTGAGTGGCTACTTGCGGGTTCCTCCAGAATCAATCTATATCCTACTTTGGGTGTAAGCCACCTTCATAGCGACAACTTCCTTCATACCCCCGCGACCTGCCTATACTACGTGCTTTTGCTCACTTCAACCCAGACTTACCCTCCCTAGCAACACATTATAAAAACCTTCAATGGACCCATTCCTTGTGTTGGCTCCTGCCTCCATTGTGCACATCTACCTCTACCCTATACTCAGATAATCTCACATCCCCATCTACCAACAAGTCACGCGTCATAATGGAAGCATCAGAAGAAGCCTACAAGGAGCTAGTCGAGTTTAACGAGGTGACATTCACAGCCAATGAGACAGTGAATCGGATCGTTCGGATTCTCGTGTTCAACTACCTGATTGAGCAAGAAGATGGTTTCTACTATCCCTCATTGACCGATGACACCGGAGGACTTAGAGAGTCTGACATCCAACGCGATAACCGGTCCGGCATCGTGCAAAGCGTTATGTATGCTTTGGGAATCATTGCTCGTGTTTCGGACCCTAAGGTCTTGGGGATTGGCTGGATAAATACCAGCGATCAGCTACTCCTAAGGGAAGCCCTGGAAGCCATGTCCAGGCCCGAGGACCTCGTGGATATTGGTGCATTCAAGTTGTACCTAGAGCAAGAATGGTGCGTGGCTATCGTCAGTAAGATTGAACATTGTGGCCAAAACGGGGTCAGGCAGGAGGGCTGTGATAATGAGGAGGATAAGAAAGAGAAGATAAATTGGGGCAAACATTTTTTGGGTGAGCTCTATCCACTAGAGCTAACGCATCTGCAAGATGTTTCGGAAAAGTTCCTCCCAACGGATAGCAAGGGCGTTTGGGGAGCGATGTATCAGCCTGCTTCGTGAGTTTATAACATTAGGGAAATTGGGCCTTGTTCGGGCCCATTAGGTTTCTCGTGTTTGGTAGCGTCAGAGTATCTTGTCTGAGTCAGTGATTCACTGTTGTGTTTACAATATAACAAGTTTTGTCTTTCGTGATCTTCGCATATCCTTCGAGTATTATCTCCAAAAATGTACTCGTATAGATGAAAGTAATCCATTGATTTCCAGAAAAGATGTAAAGGTGGGCCGGAGTTATATTACGGGTGGGGCAAAAGAAAGAACAAAAGCAAAAAGATGACCAGACTGGGGCTCGATCCCAGGACCTTATCGGTGTTAACGATACGTGATAACCAACTACACCATCCGGCCAACTCGTTGAAGATGTTTCAATATTTTGACTTCATTAGCTACTGGTAAATTTACCTTTAGTTTCTTCGGCAGTATTGATCTATCCCAACCCATATCTATTGTCCTACAATGGGATTCAATGCACCTTTTTACTCATATGATCAAGCTCCAAGCTCATAATAGTTAATTGTAGGAGGGATAAGCGTTCTAGTTTCTCGATATAGATGTGAGCATGATTTTTTGATTGTGCCGCGTATTGGGGTCTCACACTGGTGTCCTGGGTTCGGTTTTGATGTAGGTCGGGTGCCCTACGAGTAGGGAAATAAATAACCAGCATACCAACTGTGCAGATTTATCTGGAATTATTGATGACTATTAGTGATCTTTTACGGTTATATATAGGCTTTGCCGCGCATACCTACATCTGCGTTGCCCTCATCGCACGTGCCCTCAGATCCGTGCTATAACCGTCTAGTATATATATTCCAACAGTTGACCGGTACCCGACCCAACAAGCTCCAGATCAACGGCATCGTTCAGTTAGCGTAGGCTACTACACGGGTTACTTGCCATATTAAAAAGCGGACCATTACATATAAAGACTGAAAACATTTCTTTAGGCAGCCGGAAGATCTGCTAAACACACCAATCGAGCAGTCATCCCTGCTTCATTTACTTCACCGTGGAAATTGCCCAAGCAACCTAAGTACAGGATTATGTAGCATAAATGTGAGCTGTCTTTCAACAAGTTGGCCGGATGGTGTAGTTGGTTATCACGTATCGTTAACACCGATAAGGTCCTGGGATCGAGCCCCAGTCTGGTCATCTTTTTGCTTTTGTTCTTTTTTTACCCCACGTATGTTCTAGAATCTCTGAAGCATACAGTACCCATCCACATCCACCACAAAAAGGCTACAACACCACCAACCTAGTGATAATTGCCATCAGGAGATCTTCCTGAGTGCAGTTTCCTGAGTCTCGCATGCAACAATGTGGTAGTCGCTATCCTCTGCCACACGGTCTTCGAACACCCAGCCATAGTTCACTACGCACCCTGTTGCCGAACATAAGTAACCAGGTATCGACAAAGCGGAGGCAACTTGACGCTTATATAAATTGTGACAATAATAACATTCTCCTAGCTGAGAACAACCAGTCTTAGTAAGGAAGGATAATATGATAATGAGTAGTTTTTAGAGATATGTGACTGAATTATATGACATAATTCTATTTATTTTTCTTGTTTGTTTTGCTTTGCTTATTTAATTTTCATTGTTTATGTGTACTCTTTTTTTTCCCCTTTGCTTCCTCCTTTCCCTCCTCATGTTCGATATTCTAGTTTAGATGCACCAAAAGGGACATATTTGATTGGCTCTCACAATTCAGCATGCGGGCCTACTTTGGGACTTGAAAATATAGACAGGAAACTGCTTGCCAATGTGGAATATAAGGAGAATAATACTTTTTGACATCGCTTATTCCTAATCGAATGGATTGTAGCGTAAGTGCTAGAATAGATGATATACTTCATACCCAATCAACAGATCTTTAGCTAGCGCTCGTGTATCCAGATATTAGTGTCCAGTGAGGAATCTAAAATATAAGGTTATGGCAGTATCCTATCAGAGATGTAAAGAAGCGACGTTCTCAACGATGAAACTTGTAGCATTAGCTCGGAAATCATCCACAATGATGTCATCTTCATCCCGGCCAAAATGCATCAGGTTCTTGCCCTCCCCCCACTGCGGCCACTGCACAGTAGGATTGCTCTTATTTGGGTCCTGATAAGTTATGAAAGAGAGATAGTATGACCAGATCGAGGACATCACACGTTCAGCATCTCCAGTAAAAAGGTCCGGGAAATTCTGCACAAGCATATCATTGACCTCGCGAATATACAACTCGCTACCATGGAAGGTGCCCAAAAATGGAATACCCTTAAAGATAGATGAGATGAACGACCATGCTCCGTTGTCTGGTCGGTTCTCCTGGTTGTAGGACAGAATAAACCGTCTGGTTTGGAGGACGGTGACGTCTCCCAGGATAGCAGCCAGACGCTTGGATTGAGGATACAGCGAATTTGATGATGGTGTATGAAATGGTGCACCATACTCATCATCATCATTGTAGATGGAAACGAGTTCGTCGATTTGCTCCTCGCTCGCGTCCAAGAAGTAATAGTTCCGGAGGTAGTCGCCCACATCTTTTTGTGTGGTAATATTGGTCAGATTTAATACCACTGCTGATCCATCATCTTCCGGATTCCCGACAATAAATGGTACCTTGGCGTAGGCTCCGGTACTAGCGGCTTCTTCAGGGGAAGCAGTAACCACCTTGCCATCCGGTCGGGGCAAATAGGATAGAGAAAGAGCATAATATCCCGAGCGACTTGGGACAGAATTGGAAGCCTTAAGGAAGTCCTCATAGGGCAAGTCACGCAGACAGGACAAGGTATCATTAGCCAAGGAGCAGCCAGCTGTGTCGACAACCTGCTCATATACCTCTTGACCTCTCGTTCCATCCACCGGATTGACAGGCCAGGTATTGCCAGAATTCATGATCCCTCCCCGGAACAGGGGTTTCTCATTATATGTGATGTCGCCATTGTACAGTGCCATTTGATGAAAGACTGAATGAGCACCGGCAGACTGACCCCAGATTGTCACTTTGTCAGGATCACCACCAAAAGACTCAATATTATCTGCCACCCATTTCAGCGCCTGACGCTGGTCCTGCAGACCGAGGTTGCTCACTCCAGCATCTTTCACCTCTTTTCCGGGCAGAAATCCAAAACCACCCAGACGGTAATTGGCGCTAACAAATATTATTGGCATAGACTGCTTAATGGCTTCATTGACAATAGGCGTCCCTGAAAGGTCCATGGAGCTTCCGACTTCAAAACTACCGCCATAGATCCAGAAGAGGACCGGGAGCTTTGAATCTAACTTAGCATCTGCTGGCCGCCATATATTCAACGTCAAACAATCCTCACTGATACTTTGAGGGTTCGGGGTTGTCGGTCCCAGGAGAGAAGCAACATTGGGCGGCAAGGGAGCACATTTAGACTCCGCTTTGTCCTGCTGGGGACATGCTGCAGGGTAGTCCGTTGCTTGGACGGTGCTCAAGTCCGTGGTTATTGGCTCGGGAGGCTGAAGACGAAGGGTGCCGACGGGAGGCTTCGCATATGGAATGCCTTTGAACACCTGGACATTCGTGTCCTCGTTCTCTCCAGTTATTGTAGCTGAAGGAGAAGGAGCTGTGACTACGGGTGAAGAGGAATCCAGGTGTTTCCACGTATTTGTGGCATCAAATAGAGCCCACTGGTAAGGAAATCGCATTGTGGTGGTATATTTGAGGTGATGGGTACTAGCAGAGGATAGTACTATCCGCCAGTAGGTCGAGTCTGTTCTAGCATTGTTGAATATTATATAATTGTACGAGTTCAAGTCAATGATCCTTACTCTATGAGTGAATATTGAGTATCTGATACAGAACCAAAGATTACATTGATCACCTCACAGCGATGTAATAGCAGCGCAGATTTCTTCAGTGCACGGGGTGGTATTTAGGGTTTCGTGCAAGACGTGTGCAGTAGTCTCTATCTCCTTCCATCCAGAACGACCCGCGAACGGAAGCACCGAAATGGGGTATAGAGCAGTATCTGGAGTCATGAGGTCATCAACAACTATGTTACGGACGCTAGGCCATTCTACTAGCGAGGCCAGGCAGAATGCGCTCGATGATGACTACACCAGATCAAATGACAATCCTTATCCCTTAAGATAATAATATCATTATAACGTAACCCACGGTTATGCGGCCCATCTGGTTATTCTATATAAAACATGTGATTTTGAATCTATTATATTTCAATCAATACTGGACTTATATTGTTTCTAACTTCATATATAAATAGTATATAGCATGAAGAATGTTATATAATATTCCTTGATTTTTCCTGGTTTTTCTTGATTTTTTTAATATGGAATATATTAATGTATCTAGAATTACAGGTAAAATACATATATTGTAATATGACAAGTTACTATTAAGATTTGGATAGATTCTTGAAAGATATTAGATAATTATTTATATTATTTTTTATTTATTTATGCAATATTGAGTCTTCTAGACTTATAATGATTGAGATATCTTGTGTTTAAAAAGAGTCATTTGTATAGGCTGACCTGCTAGATCCCTCAGAATCATCAACTTTCGACATCGCTACCCGCCCTTTCCTTCCCTAAGCGGGCCTACTATGACATTGTCGGAGACCTCAATTATCAGTCATGACTTCGAAGCTCTTTATGCTTGACCAAGATGCCTGCAGCCTAATATCTGGATCAATCTTGCTGGACAGCCGTCAAACCTTGTTAACTCCTACACGACCGATGGGTGCACTTATGGCACGGCCACGTTTACCGTTGAACCTGAAGCACTATTTGACGAAGTTGATATCGTGTTTGAAGGCATGTGATCCTTCACGCTTTAGTGTGTAAGTAACAGGAGATACTTATCACAGCCAGGCACATCATGAGCAGTGGTGATACGGGAATCATCCCGCGGACACACGGATCGTAAAAGAACGAGGCACAGTGTCTGACTCTGCGTCTGCTAGAAGGTGATCATTTATACTAATACGCCTTCATATTTATCGTTCTGGACTGTCCCTCCCCCTGCCCCCGGGCCCCCAAGGTTTGCACGCCATGAAAGGAATGTTTATGTTGGATGAGTTCGCACTATGCTCCCACCAACACCGGGAGACCATGTGTTCTCCAGAGATGGGAAAAGACTACTCGTGACACGGCACCGGATAAGTCACAGATCAGACACACTGTTCGCGCATCCATTTTAAAGACACAATGAGGCGGCCACGGATTCAAGCTATGGTAGGGTCACAAAAGGAGATTGAAATGGAAAGCATAAATACCGCGCTCACATCAACGCCAACGAAATTCTTCGCAGACCTTCTGTTTAATATGCTTTGGGCTGCGAAAAGACGATTCGAAACCAACCTGGTTCGCCGCCAAACAGTTCCCCTTCAGCCAGATATACCTTCTTCGAAAGTAGTCGAGTACTAAGTGAAGATTCATTATTGACATGTCTTGGGCCCCTGACTCCTGACGCTTTTCTCAAGTCTGCCCATAGTATGAAGATGCCCGATTGCCCCCTGTATAATAGGGAATACCATGTTGTTGAAGAAACTCGGTCACAAATTCATAATTTCGGGAAAGACGCTGTTTGTTCGTGCGAATGAAGCTCTCAGTGAACTGATCGTCTTCTAAGACGATTGTTGCAATATGATCCGAGGCGGATGAAGGGCAACTGAAAAGTCTGTCGCTGTGTAAGTTGAGGCTAGCTACTCTTCTAAGCGCAATTTACTCACGAGAGCGAAGAAAAAGATGTCTCCAGTAAATTATTTCCCTGGTCTACCAGGAAACCGAGGCGGAGGCCATTGGCTCCAAAGTCCTGATTCCATTGCTATCAGTTATCTAAGTAAAATCAACTGTTCGTATTACCTAATTGCCACATACTTTACTCATTCCCCAGAGGACATGAACCAGGCCAGGATCGATAATGCCCGTAAGGTCAATGGATAAGAGCGAGGTGAAGGTAGGGGCATCAGGAGCGGTTCTGTTATGCCACACAGACAGAGCGTACACCTCATCGCTGATAATGTGAATCTGGTGCTTCTGGCAAAACGCTAGGAATGCTTTGAGAACTTCTGGAGCAAAGCACCGACCTGCCACTGTTAGCTGATATACATGCAGTGTTGCGGTGATTCATTTACCTAGTGGGTTATGGGGACTACAGAGCATCAAGGCCTTCACCACCACACCATCAATTTTGGCTTGGAGGAGGGCATCCTCGTAATGCGCCAACGCATCGACGCTGGAAGGGTCAGTGTGCCCAAAGTCGACTCCCACTGTTTTAACGCTTCAGTTCAACTTGGTCAGTCAGCATTGCTTAGCATCTTGATAAATACGCCCACCTAGCTCTAGCCATATAGTCCATCGGAAAGGTCCCATAGTAGGGTCGTCCAAGTAGGAATGCATCCCCTGGATCTGCAATCAACCAGGCGAGCATCTCATTCGCTTTAGTAATGCCCGATAGGACTGAAACATGACTAGTTTCCACGGAAAGATGCGGGTGGAAATTGCGGTTCAAAAAGCGTGCCACAGCTGCCCGAAGACGCTTACTGCCTGCTGAGCCGTCTCCATACGTCAGCGCGTGCTTTTGTAGTTTGAACTAGAATGAAGTTGGTTAGTTAAGGCGTATATCATAATGACAATAGCAACTCAGGAGGCACTTGCCCTGCTATTTGCAAATTCCGTCATCTCATCATGCATTAGTAGCTGGCAGGTGTTTAGATGCTAAGTTCTATCAATCATTCACAGGGAGAACAACGACGCTCACATTCTCCGCGATACCTAAGCTGACATATCCATCTGGATTGAGCTCTGGATGACAGAGATTGTCTAAGATATCTCTGAAACCTTTCAAGGCGCCACCTAGTTCAACAGACCGTTCTCCGCGTTGAGATAATCTTCCTTCTTCGCGCTGCTGCAAATCCATGGTGCTTTCTTTCGGAGCTTCTTCCTCTCCGTTTTTCCACTGGGGTTAGGTTTGTAAGAGACCAAGGCCCTTGAGGCTGTTTTATAGTTGATACTAACCTTGTGGGTGGATTTGTTCTTCTTGACTCTTTCTGTTAGGCATTCATTGCTCTCGAACTGGCCAATCATGTAATTGATATTAGTTTCGTGGGTGGATTTGTTCTTCTTATTGAATTTTCTGTTAGGCATTCATTGCTTTCGAACTGGCCAATCATGCGATATTGTGCAGCCATCAAACTTTGTATTTTTTCCTCATGTGTGCTCCGGATAAGTGACCATTGATACACAAGTCGTCCGGTTCGTGCAACCCAACCACTGCAGGGCTTGTGTCACCCCAAGAACCGCATACTGCCCTCTAGCCCAACTTGCCCTAATGATACTGAGAAACAAATGGTCGACTCGACACCCAATTCGTATACACCATGTAACCAAGCGAGCGTTCCCCCTTCTCCTAACTAATTAGCTACGTGACCTAAATATATAAAAACATTCTGGTAGGTCTGACAAAGATAAAGGAGAATGAAATTGAAACAAAAGTACAAACTCTATAGCCACTAGGGCTGGAATTCTGATGTCTCTAGAATGCGGCTTAGCGGTATAATTGAATGTTGACACTAATTCACCTTTGCAGCAGCCTAAAAGTCTCCAAAAAATCTTTAATATCTCCATGCCGCACTTGGAAATCCTGTATTGAACACAGCGCTTAAGGTACAGCAATTTTATTTGGGAGCTGAGTTCAAATCATATATGGTGGCTATCATGTATGAAACGACAACCAATTAAACATCAAGGTTCCCATCTTCAATACCTTCAGATGTGATTGCCGTCCGCGTCATACTTGACCTCCTTTCCTGAGTTAGGAGCCGCAACTAATCCCAACTGCTGCAGAGCAGTCAGGGCTTGCTCCTCGCCAATCTCGTCAACAATCTTGCCGTCCTTGAGAGTGAAAATGGTAGTGCCCGAGAAGTAGACCTCCTTGCCGGTGTTCGGCTTGTCGAGTTTGCCCACCGCTAGGTCATCGAAAGCAACGCCAGTATGCTTTCCTCCACCAATCCAGCGGCCAACCACATAGTCTCCCTCGGCAATCAAGGGGAACTTGTAGGCATGAAAAGAAATATTCGGAAATGCCTATAGATGCCAAGTATGTTAGATTCAGTTACGAGAATCATCCTTCCCCATGCCATATTTCATACCTCACGGAACTCTAGGAGCATTTTCTTGGCTGCTTCTTTGCCTCGGCGGGGGCCATGCATGGGATAGTCGATAACAAAGCTGTCTGCGCAAACCTCGTCCACGATGTTGACATTGCCCTTGCCCCAGTATTCCTCGAAGTATTTCTGGACAACGGCCTTGTTTTTCTCCTGCAAGGTGGGCATGGTGCTGGTTTGGGAGACAGAGATGCGCCTGTTCAAGTGATATAGGTTTTATAAAAAAGAAGAAACTGGACACGAAATAGATGTGAAAGACTGAACGGGGTCGTGCCTGGTCGTTCTTATGTGGAAGAGTTTCAAGAGCTTTGCGACCGAACTAACCAATCGCAATCCGTTAACAGCAGCTAATGAAGGCTAGGTGGCAGCAGCATTGAATTCTGCGCATTGGGATTGGCCAATTCCAAAGTTGTCTTTGGTGGCGAAAAAGCAAGAGCTTATTGCTATGCCTTCTTCTATTGGTTAATTCTGGAGCATTCACAACACTTCACGCGTCATATGAGGCCAGCGCATCAATTAGCTGCATGCGATTGGCCATAATTACAGCAAACTATCCAATTCAACCGTTGCATCTGGAGGGTTTGAATTAGCCAACCAAGGAGCATTCTCAGGAAGCTACTTCATAGCAATTGCGTGCACTACATGACAGGATGTGATTGGTCATAACTAGAGCAAGCCCTCTGCAACATATATTGAACTTCCTCTTTTTCCTTTCCCTCCAAGCATTTTTCGAACATCGTCCATGTGTTAATTTCCTTTTGTTACTACATTCACTTTAAGATTCTTACTATTCGTGATGGTCGAATTCACGGTTTTTCAAGGTTCGGAGAGTGGGAAGGTTGTTGAAGCCCGCGCCGAGCGGCCTGATCCCACCGACAAGGAAGTACTCGTACGCATCACTCATTCCGGCCTCTGTGGAACCGATGAGCACTACAAACATGCAAAAATTGTTCTCGGACATGAGGGTGCTGGAGTTGTGGAGGCCATCGGCTCAAAAGTCACATCGCTCAAGATGTAGGTGATAGATAACCCGCTACTCCTGAACTCTCTACGTTCTTTGATTCGTAATTTTATCCATGTGAATTACGGTGCTAACGCACTATGTCTGGACACAGTGGCGATCGCGTTGGCTGGGGTTATGGACATGGGAGCTGTCGTCAATGCAAATATTGCTTGCGAGGGGAAGAGCTTTATTGCAACCAACGCGAGATATACGGTGAATCCAACCTGGATCAAGGCTCCTTCGCTCATGCGGCCGTATGGCCTGAGGACTTCCTTTACAAGATTCCTGATGAACTCTCTAATGCCGAAGCGGCTCCATTGATGTGTGCTGGCAGTGCAGTATTCTCGCCGCTGCATAAATTCAACGTCAGGCCAATCGAGCGTGTTGGGGTCATTGGGGTTGGCGGGCTAGGACATCTAGCCATTCAGTTCGCTGCAAAGATGGGCTGTGAGGTGGTAGTGTTGTCCACTACGGAATCTAAACGCGCAGAGGCAATGAGACTTGGAGCCAGTGAGTTTCATGCTTTCAAGACAGCCCCTCCCGCCATGGAACTCTTAGATCATCTCCTTGTCACTTCAGGGCAGCAACCAAACTGGGAATCAATATTCCAGATTATGGCTCCCGGAGGGACTATTTATGCGCTTACGGTCGACATGGGGGAGATAAATTTTCCATATTTACCATTGGTTATGAAGGCTTTGCGGATCCAAGGCAGCCTGCCCGCAGCCCGAGGAAGCCAACAAGAAATGTTACGTTTTGCTGCCCGCCAGCTTGTAAAGCCTATTGTGATGACCTTTCCTTTGACTACAAGTGGAATAGAGGAGGCCATGGAGACTCTTCGACAGGGAAAGATGAGGTATAGGGGTGTTTTGGTGCACGGGGTCTGAAGTGTGGCATATTCCTTTCCTCGAGAGAATCGCAATTCCCATTAGTTCATTCCATCACTTCATCGTTTTGGCTGATCCTCGATTGACTAAGATTGCTCTAACCCAGGGTATATCAAGTCTATGACCCATAATTTTAGACCCCTATTGTGTGAATCTTGGCTTGCCAAGTAATCCATTCTGCCACATAGTTTCCCTTGACAAGGTTCAACGATAACTTTAAATAATTTAGTCTAAGCTACCCCAGTTCCTCACGTCATATTGCCTGTAAATATCAACGAAGCTGCCATAAATCTCACATGTCATAGAAGTATGAGCTTTCAAACTACCTCAATCGCAACAAGCTAATAGAAATAGTGAATTTAGTATTCTTAAGGTCATCCAGAATTGGCAACTGTTTTATAAAACATCATTTCCACACGGTCTCGATTGCAGGATACAGTTCAGATTCCAAATACACCAGGCGTTGGAGCCCGGCCCTGGTTGGTGTTGCCAACCCACGGAGCTCTCATGCCCCTAATCTTCCTGTTCATTGATATAAAGAAACGGGATATTGCCAGATTCAAAACCTGAGCCAAGTTTGGTTTCACCTCATAATTCAGCCAGCACTAGTGAACGAAAGCAAATACATCTACCGACAACATACGAGTATCGTCTCGAGTGCGGTCTGCTTCCTGAAATTCCAGATAGACACAGTGCCACTTCATTTAAGGTGGGGATGGCGGTGAGACATTGACAGCAACGCTGAGGTCTTGGATATGCGATATTGCGGATAAATGATTGGACATTGCGGGTGGCCGGCACAATAACGCGCCATTGTCTTCGGCAGATCACCGTTGCTGTGGGGCAAGAGGCCTAGCTTGGTGCGGAGATATCGGGTGCAGAACATCGAAGCAGGGAGTTGGCGCGGCCCCAAACTAGCTTGAGTCTTGTGCTTCTCCTATGCTGGCAGTTTTGTGCATAGTACCGAATATACCGCTGCCACCGATATTTCCCCTCACTAGAGCGACGACAAGGTATTCAACCCACTGTTACGTGAGCTGGGCCTTTGCTGCATAGCAACTCTAACAACTCTGCTGTGCCGATGATGTGGTTCTAGGAGGGCAGCGCAGACAATGAATTCGTGCTTCTGCATTAGTTCATAAGTCAAACCATTAAGCTGCCGCTCATCACTTATAAATACCCTTCATCATCCGCTCCCCGCTCAAAACTTGATTGTGTGCCTTTCCGAAATGACAGCTCGATCGCCCATAATGCAGCTATTATCCCTACTTTTCAATTCTTTCGTCGCTGGCATACTTTTGCTTCTCGGCACTGGCTGCTATGTTATTTACCAGTGCTTTTTGTCTCCTTTAGCCCGAATTCCGGGACCTTTTTGGGCCAAGCTTACCAACTGGCATCGGGCATACCTCACCTACGAGGGACAAGCTCATCGCAAGTACCTTGCGCTTCATCGGAAGTATGGTGCAGTGGTCCGCACAGGACCAAACGTGTTGTTAGTTTGCCCTTGCGTGGCGCTTAACTCGTAACTGAGCGTATATCCAGGAGCGTAGCGGACCCGACAGCGTTCAGGGAAATATATAGTAAGTTCCTTGATTACGTTCCAATAATTCAAGGCTCGACTAATTGTCAGTAGAGGCGGGAGGAAAATTCGCCAAATCCGCGTCATATAGCGTCCCAAAAGAGATTCACGCCTTTGACCTCTTCCGCCAGCGGAACGAAAAGATACATGGCGAACAGAGAAAGCTCGTTGCACGTGCTTATTCAATGGATTCGATGGTTCATCTCGAGCCCAATGTCAGCTCCCTCCTCACGAGCATGGTGCAAAAGCTGGACACCCTGTCCGGGGTTGTTGACCTTGGAGTATTTCTGCAATTGTTCGCATTTGGTACGTACGTAGTGCATCTAACTGTGGGCTTCACTGATGTATGATTATAAAGATGTAATCGGTGCAGTCAGTTTCTCACGCCCGTTTGGCTATGTCACTGCCGGGGACGACGATGGCGTGTTTTCTCGGCTCAAGCAATCGTTGCGGTCAATGTCCTGGCTCATGAACGTACCCTGGTTCTACGATCTTCATCAAGTGCTCAAGCCATTAATTGGGAATTGGTTGGCAGTCAATGATCGAAATGGCTACTTCTACCAATTTGCAGCTCAAGAGATCGTCTCGCGGAAAGACCGGGGTGGTGATGACCGAGATATCGTAAACCAGCTGTTTGCAATTCAGAAGACCAAGCCTCATTTTAGTGACACGGACATGGCATATATGTTGACTGCGAATGTGTTTGCCGGCTCAGATACGACGGCGACATCGCTCAATGCGATATTTTATCTCCTCCTGAAAAATCCGACCGTTTACCAGAGGCTGATGCAAGAGTTGGAAGAGAAGAGAGCGGCCGGAGAGCTGAGTGATCTGGTAACATTCCAGCAAGCAGAATCCTGTCCTTATCTGCAGGCTGTGATGTATGAGGCGCTCCGACTGTATCCTGCTGCTGGACTTCATCTGAACCGTGATGTCCCGGAGGGGGGTATGAAGATTGGGAAGTACTATGTTCCAGAGGGCGTAAGTTATCTCCTGCTTCTCATACTTGAGAGCCTCTTGTAACATAAGCTCAGACGGTGGTCGGGTCATCTGCGTGGGTAATTCACCGCCTCCCCGAGATATGGGGTCCTGACTTTGAGGAATTCCGTCCGGAGAGGTGGCTGGAAGGGGATGTGGGAAATCTCAGTAAGTAATCCGACCGGTATAGAGGCAACTGCTCATACTGTTTCAGAACGATTCTATTTCTCATTTGGCGGTGGTTCCCGCACCTGCGTTGGAAGGAGTAAGTCTTTTGGCCAAATGTTGACTGGTTGTGACAATGCTGACACCTTCTCAGACATAAGTTGGCTAGAGATGTCAAAGGTATAGCCTGCTTCCCTGTATCTTTACTAACACCGGTATACTAATTTCGACTTAGCTCGTTCCCACCCTTCTTATGCGCTACAACATTCAATTGGCACCGGGTGCTAAAGTGACGGATGAGAGCGGGTAAGCTACATGGTCAACCGTCGTGGTAAGGTCTACTAACCTGCTGCAGAGGTTTAATCTTTATCAAAGGACTTAATGTTCTCTTAAGTCCGCGACAGAGAGCAGTGGCGTGAGACGGCACCTAGTTCAAGATCGCTTCAATGACCGGAGAAGATGCGTCCATAGACTGGGCACGGTACATGGCAAATTCAGACAACGTATGACTAGCCGAAAATGAACTCTCAGCAATAGCAATAGCACAGACTCACATTCCTACTTGTCCCTTTACTTCACTTCTTCAGAAACAGAAGGGTTAGAAAGATCAGCTTCATTAATAGAATTATACTCGACATACCCCCATCCAACCAATCAACCAGCACATTCTAACCCCGACGGAGAGTCCAAACCGCGAAGACCCGAACCCCGACGGCATCTTATCTGCACGGACATAGTCAATTTCCTATTAACTTATCACCGAGCCCTAAGCATGCATAGTATATACTATACCCCCAAACAACCACTTGTGAATAAAATCAGTATAAAACGACGTCTTCACCCTTCCAACAATCAATCCCTCACCCTCACCCTCACAGACATCACAAGCAACAACCACACCATCAACAACCTTCAATCCCCAAATCAGCCCCCAAAATGACCACCACCACCAGCACCAAAACCCTCTTCCTCACCGGCGGCAGCGGCTACATTGGCAGCGCCCTCATCCCTCTCGCCCTCTCACGCAACTACACCATCCGCGCCCTCTCGCGCACCCCTCAATCGGACACCAAGCTCCTCTCCCTCGGCGCCACTCCAATTCGAGGCGACCTAACCAGCCTATCGACCCTCCGAACCGAAAGCGCCTCCGCCACCGCCGTAATCCACCTCGCGACGGCCTTCGTCTTCGGACAAACCCCCAGCTACGCCACCATCAAAGACATCGATACCGCCGCGCTCGACGCCATCGTCTCCGGCCTCTCCTCCACCCCCAACCCAGACGGCACCCCGAAACCCCTCGTCACAACGAGCGGCACACTCCTCGTGCGCCCTAACGCCGACGGATCCGAAACCGACGAGTTCTCACCACTCGACACGCACCCTCTCGTCTCGCGGAACGAGATCACCGCGCATGGGCTCGCCCTTGGCGAGAAGACCAATGGAAGAGTAAGAGTGATGGACATCCGTCTCGCGCCGTTCGTGTACGGGCGCGGCGGCAGCGGGATTAGATTGTTCATGCAGATGGCAAAGCATGCGGGGAAGATTGTTACTGTGAGTGGTGGGGTGAATCGTACGACGACGGTGCATGTGGATGATGCGGCGGAGTTGTTTTTGCTTGCTGTTGAGAAGGGCGTGCAGGGGGGTGTGTATAATGCTGGTGATAAGACTGGTGTTACTGTTGGGGAGATTTTGGGGGCGGTGGCGGAGATTATGCATGTTCCGGTGGAGGATTTGGGCGTGGAGGAGGCGAAAGAGAAACTGGGGGATGTGGTTGCTGGGTTTTTGGCTGCTGAGAATAGGGCTTCGGGGGGAAGGGCGAGGAGGGAGTTGGGATGGGTGTGTAGGGGGGAGGGGGTGCTGGAGGATATAAAGGGGGAGAGGGGGTCGTATAGGGAGGTTGTGGGGGAGTTATAGATGGTATGTTCGTCTGATTCGTTGATTTATGGTGCTTGTGTTCTGATGTAGTAGTGTTTGAGTGTTGAGTTGCGGAGGTGATGTGTATTGTTTGGTCTTGATATTGAATATTCGGTATTCTAATTTGTTGATGTTAGTGGACTTGATCATGTCATCTATCTATTTATATAAGTGCAGATAAACAGTGAGCTCTCTTCTCCAGTTACACAAATTTGAATATAGGGGTAGTTGATAATTCTCCGATCAATTTGTATAACTCCAGCTGGATAGATAAGCTTTGCGGGGAAACGGGCCGATCCGGACATGCCATCCATTATTGTCCAACCGCAGTACCTACTGTAGGTACGTGGCAGCTGTGATAATTACATGACACAATCATTCAAAATCCCGATGGGAAAGAGGATGACTACGAATCAAAGTATTCGAGGACATCCGCACATCATTAGATGGGTGGGCATGTATGGTCAATACATGGTTTTGTTGATAACAGGTCTGATATGATATGGGTCAAGCTGTATAGCATGAAATTTGCCACACCAATCCTATAATGAAGGGATGTATGTGTCTACCGGGGGTTGTAGCTCAGTGGTAGAGCGCTCGCTTCGCATCCTCAAATGGGAAATGCGAGAGGTCAAGGGTTCGATCCCCTTCAACTCCATCTCTTCTTTTTGTTTTTGCTGTTTGTTTCTCTCTCTTTCTTTCTATTGAAACAAGGAGAAAGAAATGGGTGGATTGTTTGTGGTCGAAGTCGCGCATGTTTTAGTCAAACTGTGTGTATTTTGTTTAAATAAGTTGTCTTTGTTGTATCAACGGGACGGGCAGATCTCGTCTTTCTCTGGACATCTAATCGCTCGCTCTCTTCCAAGGATTAGAGCATTCTTGAATCTAGCCTTAATGAAGATCTCAATCCTCACCCGTCGTCTATCGGCTATGCTATTTCGTCACTTGCACAAAGTACCCTTCAGCCATGCTAGCAACGCTCTATACTGATCCGGCGAAACCACTCCTGGATTGAAAGGCGAAAGGGCCTCGCAATGGACCTCAAGATGGGCAATACTAATGGTGACTCCGGTATGTTCTGCCTAAACGAAGAAAGACATATTAGTAGATGTCACACCCCAAAATTTAAGAGCCACTGACCTTAATCTTCCTAGCAGTCTTTATAATCGAATCATACAATACCTCATACCCTCCCACCCCAATAAAAATCTCCTCCACAGGCAAATCCCGCCACCAGCCTTCAGGCGCACCCGCAGGCCGGTTATAGCTATCGATTTCAGCATCACCAAGAAACATATCTGCCCAATAAGTCAATAACCCTGGTGAGACAAGATCCCGCGACGCGTTTCTTCGGCAACTGTCATAATCGGTCCGAGACTCGCCCATCCATGGTGAAAGCAACAATGCCCCAGCAAGGCTCTCACGCAAGAGTAGGGAAGGAATGTGAGGATGAGGATGCGCAAGATGAGATAGGACAGACAAGATGAGATGTGCGCCCACAGAATCACCCAGCAACACTGTCTCGGACGGCCGCTTTCCCAGATCCTCGATGGCATGTTGAAGGAGCGCGACGGCCTGCTTCATTTGATGAGGATATTGCGCGGTTGGGGTAAGCTCATAAGGGAGGAAGAGCATGCCGGCATCTATTCCCGCTTGTCCCAGCTGCCTGAGAATGGAGGTGGAATAGTCGATGTGGGAGGGCAGGGCAGGGAGGCAGTATGCGCCGCCCGGCAAATGGAGGAGCAGTCGCTCGGCGTCTGGATTGCCTAGCCAGAACGCGGTGGTCCCGTCAGGCAGCTTGACGGTGTTTAAGGTCGTGTGTGTGCGACGTGCCCATGCTTCGAGAAGCCGAGCGGAGGTATCAGGGGAATAAGCATACCTGGAACTCATTATCAATATCAAGAAGTGTGTCTGGGTTTGGAACTGTTGCGACCTACCGGAACTGGTCTATCGTGACAGTTTCGAAGAATGTCCGCACAGCCATAGCGACTATGTGCTTCGTGGCTGTTGCGCCACCGCGAGCGCCTCTCACGGGCGCTTTCAATGCTGTCCATGATGCTATGATTACTGCCATGTAAGCTGGTAAGTATGAGTGTGAAGCAAGGATACATAATATATACAAGCCTTGCTAATGGCCCAGAGCAGACCTGCTAAGGCTAGTAGCTCCATGTTTGACGCAATTGAGCATGAGTCTGTTGTTGTACTCCGAGGGAGGTGTGCTCAGTAGCATCTATGTATGACTAGGTTTCAGTGACTACTGCATAAGCTTTGACCGCCGATCCCTACATCATATGCAGAGATAGCATTGGTCTACCAATATAGCTTGGCTGAGATGAAAGTTTATTTGGTTCCAAAGTGGGAAGGAGGTATGTGACGAGATGTATCACGAAAGCAAGAAACTGGAACTGCATCGCCGGCTTACTTCTTCACCTATAAGCCTATGCTAAATCTGGGAGTTATACACAGCAGTCCTGTTCATTATCTGTTCCTTACAGGACCACGATGATTGTTTGGCTGGATTAGCCGAAGATCAACTACATCTACTGCGATGCTGAGCATGGGTACACTTTCTAGAAATCATCACAACCAACCAATTATCTTTCCGAAGACGCTACTCTCGCATAGCGACTGAAGAGAACCCAAAGGTGGCCCGAAATTACCAAAAGACCTCAGTACCTCCCCGGCCGCAACAGGATTTGTAACCCTTCATTAAAAATCCCTTTGTTTTAGGCCCCGCCAAAGGGCATAGAGGCAAAAACCTTGACATTGAACCATAGTACCTACCTAGATGGCTATTTATACCTTTGTGGTAGAGCCAAAACCTGGGAGCATAGCGTCTTCTTTCAAGAGCACAGCTACCCCGTGGCAATGCTTCTTTTGCGCGTATGCACAAAATCATGCTAAGCCAGGTCTTTTGGCCTCTGTAGCAAGGAATCTACCCGTTCTGCAACAAGTTGGCCGGATGGTGTAGTTGGTTATCACGTATCGTTAACACCGATAAGGTCCTGGGATCGAGCCCCAGTCTGGTCATACGTTTTTGCCGAGAAATGCTTTTTGGCATTGTTGCCAATCAACGTTTAGCATGCTCCCGTGAGCACTGCGTATGATTCCTTTGTCGAATTCCTGTTTCTACATATCCGTGAACCTGGTGGGATATTCGACAGCACCCTTTCGTCTCAATGCCATGTTCGTCTATAGGTTACCATTCCGGTAACATTTCGACGAATTCGCAACAGGAATAGGTATGTTGCTTAGTATCGCCCAAGCTTCATCTAGTCCTTATCGATATATGTCATCAAAAATAGATAAGGCAGCTGGTATAGCTGTGTACTTCACTTCTTTACACGTCGTTTTGCAGAGTGCATAGTCCGGTATTTCAAGTCTTTCCGATCGACTGAGGGTCCGTGGGGAACACCCTAAGGGATTAGATGTATGCCAAGCCAACATGCAGCAACTTGGCAACAATTGACGTCTGCATAGTCCAAAAGAAAATACAGCAGTGCAT